AACCAACCATTAATCATCTGATGACCACCACGGCAGAAACGCGATTCATAACTTAACTTTTGCAATTCTGCGGACATCTATATAGTCTTTGAATTGAAATGCTTTGGTTTGTTTAGTTGTTCTATTGATTTGGGAATCAACCGGATGTTGATGACGATTGGTAAGGATGAATGGATTGATGTCCGCCAATTGAAGAGGAGTCGGTGCAAGTGTATAATCGGTAATCTGCAGGATAGGAAATGTCGGGTGCAGGAGGGCACGGATTAGCCCCGGTAATCCCATCATCCGATAGTGTCATGTCATTCTGTCAACCCATTCGACCGAAGGACCTCCCCAGTTTGCAACCATCGCCCTCCTCCCTCGCACAGACAGACGTGCATTCTCACACATTAATACGTACACGCCACGCACGCACCCTCCGAATTACAAAAATGGATATAATAATCGCTGGACCAGAAAACTACGGCAACGCGGATTAATTGTCCTCGTTGCTATGGTTATTGCATTTTTCGAGGTAAGGGTAGTGGTTTTTGACAATTTCTCATATTATTATATTCATTTATATGTGCTCAAATCTCATATTATATTGACATTTGTTAAGGGTTACATAAGTGATGAATGAGGGACGGTAGTAAGTTTGCATCGTTGAATTATGAATGTGGGTGTCGGATGCATGTGTTGCAAAAGTCTTGGGTCGGATGAGGCGGTTACGTGGAAAGTGCTAGCTGGTAGTAGTAGATAGAATTGTGTGTGTGTGTGTGAAAGAGCGAGAGAGAGAGAGAGAGAAATGTGTAGCGAGAAGTGAAGTAGTCTTGAGGCCGACGGTAGCACATCATCATTAATGAGCGGGGTTTGATGCTGGGGCAGCTGCAGGTTTCCCACCGGCCGTGGCCTCAGGCTCCGACAAAACACCCACACTGCCTCCGCCACCTCCGTCGCCCCTCGCCGCATCCACGAACCGCCGACACACCGACCACCCAACTCCCATCCACCCACACAACACAACACGTAGCATCGATGCGAACCTCGTAGGTGCCGCCATCGTCACCCGTTCCACACACATACACACACCATCACGTAATTCGTATACGTCACAACAATCTGAACAGATTCAATCAATTTGCAATAAATGAAAGCGACATGCATATATTTTTGATAATAAACAATTAAATAATTTAACAAAAACCGATTAATAGAAGAACAGGGGGCCTGCACAGGATAGGGCAAAAACTAGTCCTTTTATTTTGAGTTGGTATTACTCTTGCCATATGTTTAGAGAGAAGAAGATTTTTTTAGTGATTTTTAGAGCGAACTCGGAACTATTTCAAATGTTTACTTCCGTTTGTTTCACGATTACAAAACTTTTTCAAGTTATCCGTGATTATGCGTAAGTTTGTTTTATTTCGCCCATTTTTGTTTCGCTATTGTCAAGAACACAAGCAAGTAAGTAACATTTCTATTATTCTTTTTATATGTATTGGTCTAAGAACAATTTAATTAACACATTGACGACGGCATGACCCACCGGTGGGTCATTAATTATAAATAATAGTTTTGTATGATCTTGAACGTCTTTAAATATGTTGTTATTCGCCTTTGTGCGTCGTTTTTCACCAAGGGATGAGAAGAAATCCCGCCGAAACCATTTAGTTGATAATTTAATTCTTTTTTCACCCTCCTTCTACTCCTTTTTCGAAAGATGGGGGATGTTCAACTTCTTAGGAGGGCGGCTTGCATTTTGTTTTCTTCTCTCTTTTGCAATCCTCGGCGGTTGGGTGGATGGATGGATGGATGGATTGATGCCGCTCTATTTGCGGAGCCGCCAATCCCCATTAGCGATGCTCGAAGCTGATGATGGGGTAAGGATCAACGGCTGCGACCAAAATCCGCGTGAAAGCGATTCCAGCCAAAAACCCATTCCATCTCTCAACAGCACCCTCGAGGCGTCTTCCCTGCGAAAACCGCCCGCACTTCTCCCTCGTCCTGCTCACGCCCGCATCTGCAACTTCTCACACACGTACACACGCACTCACACGCACCATCACCACCGTCTAACGCGCCCTTTATTAATTATCAAACACTTGCTCGCGGCACACGCTATTTAACCGTCGAAAATAAATATAAAACCAAATTAATCTTAATCAAATAACAACAAAATTGCAATTTTTAATTACCCTTGCCAACAATTGCTATACGTTAATTAATAATTGACATTACAAGTACAAATATACATGTAATCTGTGAAACACGAAGTATCTACAAATACATATTTGATTATGGCTTAACAATTAGAAATGGAACACCTATGAATAATCTATTTTCAAACTTAAATTCTACGTTCTTTGTACATGTATTAAGAATATGCAAATAACAAAAAGTTTCTTTAATGTCATACGGGCGGGCGGCTGAGGGTTGTACTTTTTATTTCTTTGCGAAAAATCTTAATCACGTCGGTAGGAAAAGGGAAAGAATAAAGGATGGAAGAAATGAAGGATTCGTCCGGGCCGGCAATTCGCTCGCAAATTTAATCTATTGATTCGGCGTTTTAAAAGGGAGCAAAAGATCAGCGGTTCCGAATAAATAGGCCATCTGAATGATAGTGTGGGAATTCGGCTATTGTCCGGACATGTGACGTGCTCACGGCGATTCACAGAATTAATAGGAGGGTGGTGGTGGTGGTGGTACAGAGAGAGCGGAAGCTGCTGCTGCTGCCCCACGCACACCCCTCCACCATCCATCCATCGACGAAACGTGAGGGGTTTCAACAGATCAACCAAACCACCCCCACCCTCTGCTGCTGCTGCTACCAACATCATTACACACTCATACATACTTTAACCCAATATAAAAATATTGACACACAACAAATTAATAAATAACTCACCCCCTCTTTCTCGACAGACAATTTACGCAACAGAACAATTTTTATTAACCAGGTGCTCTGACTCTCATCAACCCCTACAACCTCAATTCTAGTTGTTCCGTGATCTCCCTCTTTCTATCGCTTACTCCCATCCCCGGCCGCTTTCCTCCTCTTCCATTTATAAATGCATAATTAACACGTAAAGCCACTTAATCTGAAACCACCGCCGAAAATCCAACATCCACTCTCTCATTTACAATTCATTTGCAACCGACACGTTTTCGGATGTAGGGCATCATCTAACCCACTAAACCAGTGTTTTTAAATACTTCTTCAGTCCACAATTCAAATTGACATATCAAAGTGCAAATTGCAAACTTAGTCAAGTATATGGGAGTTTGGGATTAGTTGAATTAATGATCGCTGATGCGAAACAAAGAGTGAGAACTGATTAAAATTTAAAGAAAAAGAGAAGAAACTGTTGAAGAGATGATGAGGCGAAAAAATAAATAAATGGAGAAGAACGTAGCGAGGTATCGGCTCTGTCGAGTGGTGGAGGCGCCGGGTGTGGGAGAGAGGAAAAGAAGGAGATCTGAAGCCCGTATGAAAAGGAAGTTAAACAGCGGAACGTTTTTCGCAGTCGCGCCTTTTTGCATTTTTTAAAAGGAGCTAAAAAGGATTTATTCTTTTATTAGCGAAAAGCTTTATGTATACTCAGGCGTCCGTGCCGCCGTATTAATTTGCGAGTTTTATACTCTGCACCGATGCTTCTTTCATAGCTTTCTTTTTATCTCTTGTTCTCTAACTCCGCCTAAACCATACCTCTCCTCTCTTCACTTCTTTCCTTTTTTATTTAGTACCAACTGAAGATGTGTATTACTTACCATAACCATAACTTTTTCAGCGGTGCAGCACGAGCGGGGTCCGAGGAAACCGAAGCTACAGCAAGCGTCTGCAGGCGGCGGTATCGGAGGAACGATGAATCCGCCACCACCTCCGATGACAGCCTCCAGTCTACAGCACATGTCCGAGAAGATGTCTCAGAATCCGCAGCTACACTTCCCCGCCGGTCTCTTTGGCCCAGCCGCCCACCATCACCCTCTAAAGGCCTTCGCGTTGCCACCCTCCTCCCTGCACAGCCCCACGCAACACCTGGATGCCTTACCGCCTCCGCTCTTCCATCCGCAAGCCCTTCCACCACCTCCCCTCCTCAACATCCTCATGTCAGCTGAAAAATGCCAGGTAATTAGTTTTTGTACATACGTTAAATTAAAATTTACGTGTTTTTTTGTTTGTTTTGTTTCTCTTTTCGCTGTGTTCGTTCACGCGTCGCGCGAACAGGAATTAGTCTGGAATACGAAAATCCAGTCATCGGAAACATCGACGAGTACAACGGAATCGAGCTCCGGATTATCAATGTCCACGGGCAGCGTTTCGAACGTCCCTCCGGTCAGTCCTCCGCTCGGATTAACCCTGACACCCAGCTGGGAAATACTGCAGGTAAACAACAACAACAACACATACGCGCGATCGCAGTTTACCATCAAAACAAAACGAATAACAAAGAAAACAACGGCATTTCAACAACAACAAAAAAATGTCGACAACATAACAAGCGGGGTGTGTGTGCGTATTGTTGTGTGCGCTGCAATTGGCGAGGGGGCGTTCACTGCGACCGCGAATACCGAGCCGGTTGACTTTCCGGCTTTTCCGCAGTTGGCTGCCACCCGACATCCACTCACCGCCTTTCGTTTACTGATTCCCCTCTTCTTCTTATTCTCCGACGTACCAGGAGACGACGGCTCGGCTTCTCTTCATGGCCGTGAGATGGGTGAGGTGTCTGGCGCCATTCCAAACGCTCAGCAAGCACGATCAGCTTCTGCTTCTGCAAGAGTCCTGGAAGGAGCTCTTCCTCCTTCATCTGGCCCAGTGGTCCGTCCCATGGGATCTGTCCTCTCTACTAGGCTGCAGCCAAGCGCGGGATCGACTTCCACAGGACATTCACACGGCCACAGAAATCAAAACAATACAGGTAAAACAACAATTTATCTAATATACAGTTAACTAATTTGCTAATATTAGTAATCAATAGTACTCACCATTAGATATTTAAAAAAATAACGGTTTATGAAATTTTACGTTGTTCAACTCTAATGTCAAGTTTGTTTATTAATTGACAAAAGACAATCGTTATATCAAATATTAAGAATGCTGTGCTAGCAATGACTCCAACTTAAATAAGTATAAAATTCACAATGAATAAAAAAGACTTAACTAATTTACACTTAACACAGAAATTAAAGCAATACAGGTAAAACAACAATTTATCTAATATACTAATTAACTAATTTGCTAATATTAGTAATCAATAGTACTCACCAATAGATATTTAAAAAAATAACGCTTTATGAAATTTTACGTTGTTCAACTCTAAAGTCAAGTTTGTTTATTACTTGACAAAAGACAATCGTTATATCAAATATTAAGAATGCTGTGCTGGCAATGACACTAACTTAAATAAGTATAAAATTCACAATGAATAAAAAAGACTTAACTAATTTACACTTAACACAGAAATTAAAACAATACAGGTAA